CAACAGTGAGACTCCAACTCAAAAAAAAAAAAAAAAGAAAATAGCCAAGAGGTATAGAGAGAACTTGGGTTAGAATTGGAGTGCTGTTACCACTCCTCTGACCTACATTGATCAAGTCATTACTTTGTGGACTTGTCCATCCCAAGAGCCACACCTATTGCTTCTTCTCTTTGTGTATAGTGATTTATGAGCAAGATTCCAGAGAAGGTCTGTGCTCGGGAAGGGCCCAGTAAACAGCCAGAGAAGAACAGGCAGGCCTAGACTGGTAAAAGAGTGGTCTTCCTTTATTTTTCTCTTTCCTAGTTCGGAGGAAATCATGTATTGTGAAGGAAATGGAGAAAATGAAGAACAAGCGAGAAGAGAAGAGGGCCCAGAACTCTGAAACGAGAATAAAGCGAGCTCAGGTACCTTTCCTGTGAGGCGAGGGCAAGGGTTTTTGTTCAGGCATCCTTAACTGAAACCCTGTAGGCAACAGAGATACAGTTGAGCCCCAGAATTTCTGAGGCTCCAATCTGATATCCAAAAAATTTAACTGCTTTTTTATTAATATTCAGAGAAATAGTCATAAATTTTTCTGACGGCTCTTAGATGAGAAATATTTAATGCTGATTGTCCAGTGAAGAAGTCCATCACATGCTCACTTGGTGCAGTGGCCAGAGGGACTGAAGGGCATAGTTGTCTGTTTTTTTCCACCAACACTGTCCCCCCCATTGTGTGTACTGAAGGGCAGGAACTGCAATGGAGTCCCCTTAGTTGTATTAATTGCTCTGGGGAAGCACAGCCTGCTGTTATGCCTCCTCAGCCTGCTGTCATGCCTCCTAAGATGTGGGACTGTGGCCCTAGTCCCAGTTCCTAGTGTGGCTTGGTACATTTCTAGCCCACACACACACACACACACACACACACACACACACCCAATCTCTGTTCCCCAGGGCTTTGTACCTGACTTCTCAACCTAAGGCCAACGTCAAGGTCAGGGCTTTGTCAACTATGAAAGGTCGTGTGCAAAGAGCTGTTGCTGCTGTCACATAGCACTGGGGTCTGAGAGCACCTACATTTTAATAGTCTGCCCATTTTCATTTATGTCTCAACCAGGAGTATGACAACAGCTTTCCAAACTGGGAATTTGCCCGGATGATTAAAGAATTTCGGGCTACTTTGGAATGTCATCCACTTACTGTGACTGATCCTGTAAGTAAATCCAAAAGACTTCTACTTCTGTTCCTTGAGTAAGTGTATAATTGAAGGACAGAAAAACTTCTCTTTATAGGAATGAAGGCGTGCAGGAATCTTCACTGACCTTTGAGGGTTTTTTTTTAAATACCCTTCAGTGGGCTAGAGCTAGTGAGGCCCAGATAGAAGGGTCTGATCTTTACAAACTGGGCCCCACCTCCACTACCATATGTTGTCTAGATTCTTACATTAGTAAGAACCATGATAGTAGTGCTAGTCCAGGTGCAGTGACTCACGCCTATAATCCCAGCACTTTGGGATCCTGAGGTGAGAGAATTGCCTGAGCCTATGGATTTGAGACTAGCCTGGGTAACTTGGCAAGACCTCATCTCCACAATAAATTAAAAAATGAGCCGGGTGTGGTGGTGCACATCTGTAGTTCCAGCTATTTGGAAGGCTGAGGCTGAAGGATCACCTGAGTCCAGCAGGTCGAGGCTATGGTGGCCGTGAGTGTGCCACTGCACTCCAACCTGGGCAACAGAGTGAGACTCCAACTTAAAAAAAAAAAGTAGTGCTGAAACCTGTAGGCAACAGAGTGAGAAAAGTGGGAACAAAATCCAGTGCTCTCTTGTGCTCTGGAGTAGTTAATGGGGGAGGTAGGAGTTCGATTAGGCCAGATATGGTACAGAAAGGGAAGGTCCTGGACAAGCTTCCTTTGCTCTGATGCTTTGTGTTGTTTGCCTCCTCTCATCCTGTAGATTGAGGAGCACAGGATATGTGTCTGTGTTAGGAAACGCCCACTGAATAAGCAAGGTAAGCCCTGTTCAGTCAGGAAGAGGCTTCAGAGGGGTCCTTTGTGTCCAGAGAGTACCCCCTGAAATGCTCTTCTTCTGCAGAATTGACCAAGAAAGAAATTGATGTGATTTCCATCCCAAGCAAGTGTCTACTCTTGGTACATGAACCAAAATTAAAAGTGGACTTAACAAAATATCTAGAGAACCAAGCGTTTTGCTTTGACTTTGCATTTGATGAAACGGCCTCCAATGAAGTCATCTACAGGTTAGTTCCTTCCCTCATTTGTTTTTGTCCTCGTGAGCCTCTTCCTTCCTCTTTTTGATGCAGGACATTATGGTAACACTACTCACAGACATGCTGAATTCTGAGGTCCTTCCTGGCTTCCTCTTGTGTTTTCTTTGAGTCAGCCATCAGAGCTCGGAGGTCTGGCTCCTAGCATCAGGAAGGCTCCATTATGGGCCTGCCATGTCCCTTTTTGCAGCTTTAGTGTTCCATCATGAGTGAGACATTACCCATTACACTGAGGCAGGGCTGGGCAGGCTCCAGAGGTTCTTTCAGTGTCCTATGCAACCAAATCATTACCCACTGGGCTTAGCAGACTCAGGGAACTCTATATCTGTTCTGTTCAATATGGCACCCACTAGCCTCATATGGTTATCCAAATAGAAGTTAAATGAAATTAGAAGTTGTTTCTTAGTCATACTAACTACATTTCAAGTGATCAACAGCTACCTGTGGCAGTGGCTACTGTTGGATAGCACAAATAAAAAACATTTTCTTTTTTTTTTTTTTCCTGAGCTGGAGTCTCACTCTGTCACCCAGACTGGAGTGCAGTAGCCACTCCTGGCCACTGCAGCCTCGACCTGCTGGGCTCCAGCGATCCTTCAGCCACAGCCTTTCAAGTAGCTGGAATTACAGGCGTGCGCTACCATGCCCGGATAATTTTTTTTTGATTTATTGTAGAGATGAGGTCTCACCAAGTTGCCCAGGTAGGTCTCGAACCCGCGGGCTCAGGCAATCCACTCACCTCAGCCTCCCAAGGCGCAGGATTACAGGCTGAGCCACCAAACCCGGCTATATTCTTTTTAAATCTAGAACAGTCTTTGCATTTCTCTTAATATTGACATTGTGAAGAGACTGGGCTAGGTGTTTGGCAGAGAGATTGCCTTGCACGCTTTTTTTATTTTTTATTTTATTTTATTTTTTATTTTTTGAGTTGGAGTCTCACTCTGCCCAGACTGGAGTCCAGCAGCCGCCACTCCCAGCCACCGCAGCCTCGACCTGCTAGGCTCCAGCGATCCTTCCGCCTCAGCCTTCCGAGTAGCTGGAACTACATGCGCCTACTACCACGCCCGGCTAATTTTTGAATTTATTGTAGCGATGAGGTCTTGCCAAGTTGCCCAGGCAGATCTCAAACCCGCGGGCTCAGGCAATCCACTCACCTCAGCCTCCCAAGGCGCAGGATTACAGGCTGAACCACCGAGCCCGGCTTATTATTTATTTTTTATTTATTTTTATTTTTTTATTTTTGAGTTGAGAGTCTCACTCGGTTGCCCAGACTGTAGTGCAGTGGCCGCTCCCAGCCCCCGCAGCCTCGCCTGCTGGGCTCCAGCGATCCTTCTGCCTCAGCCTTCCGAGTAGCCGGAATTATAGGCACGCACTACCACGCCCGGCTGATTTTTTTGATTTATTGTAGAGATGAGGTCTCGCTGCCCAGGCGGGTCTCGAACCCGCGGGCTCAGGCAATCCGCTCACCTCAGCCTCCCAAAGGCGCGGGATTACAGGCTGAGCCACCGAGCCCAGCTTATTTTTTTATTTTTTAAGTCAGGGTTTTACTCTGTTGTCCGGACTGGAGTGCAGTGACTCACCGCAACGGCAACCTCCTGAGCCTTATAAGTAGCAGCTGGAACTATAGGCTCACACTACTACACCCGGTTATTATTTGTTTTTAATTTTTGTACAGACGAGGACTATGTTGCCCAGGCTGGCCTCAACCTCTTGGGCTCAAGCAATCCTCCTACCTCCGCCTCTCAAAGTGCTGAAATTACAGGCCTGAGCCACTGCATCTGGCTACCCTGCATCTTAATTTGCCTGATCATTATAATTTTTTATTTTTATATATATATATATATATATGTGTTTATTTATTTATTTATTTATTGGTGTTTGCTTGTTGATGACATTTCTTTTTTTTTGAGTTGGAGTCTCACTCTGTTGCCCAGACTGGAGTGCAGTGGCCACTCACGGCCACTGCAGCCTCGGCCTACTGGGCTCCAGCGATCCTTCTGCCTCAGCCTTCCAAGTAGCTGGAACTACAGGCATGCGCTACCATGCCTGGCTAAATTTTTTATTTATTGTAGAGATGAGGTCTTGCCAAGTTGCCCAGGTGGGTCTCGAACCCGCAGGCTCAGGCAATCCACTCACCTCAGCCTCCCAAAGCACGGGATTACAGGCTGAGCCACCGAGCCCAGCGGGAAACATTTTCATTATCCCAAAAAGTTTTATTGCACAGCACTGCTCTAGAACGAAGGTTGACAAATTATGGCCCATAGGCCATATCTGGTTCATGAACTCTTTTTAAAGCTCTCAAACCAAGAATAGCTTTTATTTTTATTTTTGGAGTTGGGGTTCTGACTCTGTTGCCCAGGCTGGAGTGCAGTAACACAATCACAACTCACCACAGCCTTGAACTCCTGGGCTCAAGCTACTCAGTATCTAGGACTACAGGTGCACACCACATCTAGCTAATTTGTTTTATTATTATTATTTTTCTTGTAAAGATGAGATCTCACTATGTTGCCTAGGCTGGTTTTGAGCTCCTGGGCTCAAGCAGTCCTCTCACCTGTGTGCCATAGTGCTGGGATTATAGGTGTTAGCCACTGCACCCAACTCATTTTTATGTTTTAAAGTTAATAAAAGAAAAATGTAATGGAGACCTATGTGGCCTATGAAGCCTAAAATATTTTAAGCCCTGACTTTAGAGGGTCTCCCCTGATGTGTGTGTGTAGGAGTCTCACCCTCACCCAGGCTGGAGTGCAGTAGCATACTCACAGCCACTGCAACCTCAACCTGCTGGACTCAGGTGATCCTTTTGTCTCAGCCTTCCAAGTAGCTGAAACCACAGGTGCACACCACCACGCCCAGCTAATTTTTTTATTTATTGTAGAGACAAGGTCTCGCCAAGTTGCCTAGGCTGGTCTCGAACCCCAGGCAATCCTCTCACTCCACCTCCCAAAGTGCTGGGATTACAGGCATCCCCTAATCTTTTTAGTATGTCTTATGCTGGATTTACAATATATAAAAAAATTAGCCAGGCATAGTGACATAAGCCTGTAGTTCCAGCTACTTGGAAGGCTGAGGTGAAAAGATCACCTGAGCCCAGCAGGTCAAGGCTGCAGTGGCCATGAGCGTGCCACTGAACTCCAGCCTCAGTGACAGAGTAAGACTCCAACTCAAAAAAAAAAAAAAAAGGAATCAAAGTCCTTGGGGCCAGATTCGGTGGCTCAGCCTGTAATCCCAGCCCTTTGGGAGGCCGAGGTGAGTGGATTGCCTGAGCCCGCGGGTTCTAGACCTGCCTGGGCAACTTGATGAGACCTCATCTCTACAATAAATCAAAAATTAGCAGGGCGTGGTAGCGCACGCCTGTAGTTCCAGCTACTCGGAAGGCTGAGGCAGAAGGATCGCCAGAGCCCAGCAAGTCGAGGCTACGGTGGCCAGTAGTGGCCATTGCACTCCAGTCTGGGTGACAGAGTGAGACTCAAACTCAAAAAAAAAAAAGTCCTTGGGAACTGCAGTAGCAAGGTGGCAGGACTGTGTTCCAGGGAGTATATTTTAAGAAGAAACAGGTACAAACACTTCCCTTCTTCTCCATCCTTTGTCTTAGGTTCACAGCAAGGCCACTGGTGCAGACAATCTTCAAAGGTGGGAAAGCAACTTGTTTTGCATATGGCCAAACAGGAAGTGGCAAGACACATGTGAGTACTCAGGCCTGGCAGGGAAAGAGCCTTCCCATTATGCAACACTGGGTCCCTGCAAAGGAAGGCAATAAATATCTTGCAGAAAGTTGGTACAGATGCCCCATCGCCAGATACTCTTGTCATGTCAAATGCAGGGAGGGGTCTTAGTGCAGCCTTCTGTTTTGTCATGGCCCCTTGTGGTGATAGAGCCGGTAATGCTCAGGCCCAGGCCAAGAGTCCTTTACCATGGTCTTCTATGCCTTACTTTTGCAGACAATGGGTGGAGACCTCTCTGGGAAAGCCCAGAATGCATCCAAAGGAATCTACGCCATGGCCTGTAAGTGATGTGTTCTGCCATATCAGGTTGAGTACAGAAAAGCCGGTTGCTTACTTATCCAAGTTGTCTCCCTTAGCCCGAGATGTCTTCCTCCTGAAGAATCAGCCCCCCTACCGGAAACTGGGCCTGGAAGTATATGTGACATTCTTCGAGATCTACAATGGGAAGGTAGCTGGCAGGAAACCCCCTCTTTATACTGTTGGGGCGCAGACATTTCTAAACCTTGAAGTTGGCTAGAGGTTGTAGAAACTGAAACAACCTGTTAGCTGTCAAGTGACCACTGATGAGCCACTCTGCCCTGGCATGTGTAGGCGGCCTCACATGATGAGATAACACCTAAGCTCAGCACGTATAGCAGGAATATTCCTCGGGACTTTCTTGGGTGAAAGATTTGCCTTGTGTATGCCCTGTCTTCTGTCAGCCTACCTCCTTCATGACCTCTTTCCCTGACTGCACACATTCTTTCCCTCCCACCCCCTTGGATCTCTTTCTCTCTCTCTATAATCACTGCTTTTGCAGAGTTGCCTTCTCTGGAGTGGAACCTAGGAAATAAAAACAACTAATATTTATTTATTACATAATAGGATATTATGTGCTGAGCACTATTTAAGTACTTTACTTGTCTCAACTTTACAGATGAAAAGCAAGACCAGAGTGGTTAAGTAACTTTCCCAGACTCGCACTGCTAATAAAGTAGCAGTTGTGTCAAACTGAGGCAACCTGGTTCAGATCCCAAGTATACTGCCCTCTGCTAATCTGAGATCTGTCAGCTCATATTCTCTCTGCCCTTCTTGCTGCCAGCCCTTGTCTGAGCTGGGGAGGCTCTGTAGGAGGGAGTAATCAGGTGGGGTGCCCAGTGCCTGATGGCCTTCACCTCATTCCCCCTGCCTGGCACAGCTATTTGACCTGCTCAACAAGAAGGCCAAGCTGCGCGTACTGGAGGATGGCAAGCAACAGGTGCAAGTGGTGGGGCTGCAGGAGCACCTGGTTAACTCTGCTGATGACGTCATCAAGATGATTGACATGGGCAGCACCTGCAGGTCAGAGTGAGGGGAAGGGCCACCTTCTCATGCCTGGTTCAGGTTTAGAAAGTAGCTCTGGGCCCATATCTGTTTCCACAGCCTACTGCTTCAACCAGCTCGGTAAGGGCTATGAAGGCCTCTGCTTTAAGAAGTCTCCATGGGGCAGATGACCCAGGGTCAAAGGCTCATCAGAACCAAGTCAAAGTGTCTTAAATCTAAGCAAGGCAGGCTTTTTTAGTAGGCTGTTACCCCAAAGCCAGGCCTTCTGGCTTCTCTGGGTCTCTCCTGGTTCTTCCCTCTCTTCAAGGTGGAAATCAGGAGCTCTGAGTCTGTTCTGGGCAGGAAGTGATGGGGCCAGCTCCTGTACAGAAGTAGTGAAACACTCTTCTACCAGGCCCTAGGCATGGCACAGTGGTATACTAGCAGCTATGGGAGCCCAGGGAGGGGGCTGCCCTCTACAGGACCCTCAAGTTTTGGTATATGGCTTATGACAACTCTCCCTTCCTGTGTGCCCTTTAGCAGAGGCAGCTCAACCTTCTCCATATCCTTCTTGGCTTTCAGGTCTGGCCAAAGCCCTAGTCCAGAATCCAGTACTGATATGGCTGCCAGAAAATGTATTAGGTTAGGTCCAATACTGGTGGGAGAGGTGCTGCCCAGGGAGGACAGAATGGAGGTCTGGAACAGGAAGACACAGATCATCTTAAGAGTCCTGACTGGGCTCCGTGGCTCAGCCTGTAATCCCAGCACTTTGGGAGGCTGAGGCAAGTAGATTGCCTGAGCCCATGGGTTTGAGACCCACCTGGGTAACTTGGCGAGACCACGTCTCTACAATAAATAAATAAATAAATTAGCCAGGCATGGTAGCACAAGCCTGTGGTTCCGGCTACTTGGAAGGTTGAGGAGGAAGGATCTCCAGAGCCCAGCAGGTTGAGGCTTTGGTGGCTGGGAGCGTGCCACTGCACTCCAGTCTGGGTGACAGAGTGAGACTCCAACTCAAAAAAAAAAAAAGTCTTGACTTGGGTCCCTTCCTTCCCAGATAATTTACTGCTGTGAACTGGGGTGGTTTGAACTCTGGGGTGCCACAGGGACTGGTCACCCCAGAAGCTCATAACCTTTCTTTGTCCTCTGCCACAGGACTTCTGGGCAGACGTTTGCCAACTCCAATTCCTCCCGTTCCCATGCCTGCTTCCAGATTATTCTTCGAGCCAAGGGGAGAATGCATGGCAAATTCTCTTTGGTGGATCTGGCAGGGAATGAGCGAGGTGCTGACACTTCTAGTGCTGACCGGCAAACCCGCATGGAGGGTGCAGAAATCAACAAGAGTCTCCTGGCCCTGAAGGTAGCGGGAGCTAACTAGAGGTGGTTGGCCTGGAGAGCTGCCGGGAAGGGAGGGGGTGGTCAGCTCAAAAGGAAAGAAGGGACCTCAGTTGATTTGCTGTCCTGCAGGAGTGCATTAGGGCACTGGGACAGAACAAGGCTCACACCCCGTTCCGCGAGAGCAAGCTGACACAGGTGCTGAGGGACTCCTTTATCGGGGAGAACTCAAGGACTTGCATGGTGAGTAGGGTCACTTTGGAAGTGATGCTACAGGAGGAGGCAGAGTTGCTTTCCAAGGAGACACCTGGTCCCGTCCTTGGGCAGGAGGTTCGGCACCCTTGGCTGCCTGGGTTACCAGGCTCTAACTTGACTTGACTTCCATACCCTGCTTTCCTGCATCAGCCTCCTCAACGGCCTATCCAAGTGGAGAGGAAAGGATCTATTCCCTTTACTATGTGTAGGTGCAGCTCTTGGTTTGGGGGAGGGCATTCCTCCATTACCTGGTATAAAGGGGGTTCCAGGATTTAGAAGGTGACCTTGGGTAAGTAGGACAGGGAAGTCCTTGTCTCTTCCATGACTTCCTTCAGGTTCACTGGGTTCCAGTCTACAAAGTAGCTTGGTGCATGAGGCTATATCCTTGAATGATTTCCTTCCCTACTTTATCCCCAAGCCCTTCTAGATGAGGGTAATCGTCCCTCTCCTTCAGGGAATATTCTCCCCTATCCCCTGGGTAGGGGCATTTTCACAAGGAAGGTGGGATTTTCTGACAAAGCTCTAAACCCTTCTACCTGGGGCACTATCCTGTGGCCTGGGGAAACTGCAGTTTCCAGTAGGATCCACAGAGCTTTGAGATCAGATGCATGCAAGGTGGTATGGTTGTGGGCGTCTGCCACAGAACTTTAAGATATAGGACATTGGTAGTAGGAGTGTCTCAGTAAAGGGATGAAGAAACAAGATAATTAGATGTGTCTTTGAAAGCAGGAAACGAATGCTTAAGGCACCTTAGTTTGCAGTGCCCAGGTAGCCTAGCACAGCATGGATTATAAATGAGTATTCCCACCGATACCAGGTGAGTTTCAGCAGTGTGAAGATTCCTGGAGGCCACTTGAGGGGCAGGCTGTCTAGTGACCTCAGCCCATTCTCAGCCTTTAACACTGACCCTTCTTTTGCAGATTGCTATGATCTCACCAGGCATAAGCTCCTGTGAATATACCTTAAACACACTGAGATATGCAGACAGGTACCAGGTGGGGTGGAGTGGAGGGGCAGGACTGGGGAAGTGAATGGCAATGACGAGAGGAGGCTCTGGGACCTCAGTGCCTACTGTACACACTCCTATATGACACAGTGAACTTGAGGCTTGGGAGTTCAGCCATAATGCTACATCTGTCCCATTTCCCTTGAGGCAGCAGTGCATGAGGGTCTTTTTCAGTTCAGCTTCAGTCTATGCCACCTTGCCCAAAGGCAAAGTTGCTTCATGCCCTGGGAGCCTTAAGCCTTACAGCCTGGGTGGAACTGCACTCCTGTAGTGAGTGCCAAGGGGGCTGCTATGGAATCTGAGACCTTCTGGTTTCCTCAGGGTCAAGGAGTTGAGCCCCCACAGTGGGCCCAGTGGAGAGCAGCTGACTCAAATGGAAACAGAAGAGATGGAAGCCAGCTCTAACGGGACTCTGATCACAGGCAATGTAAGGGGCAGGATAGGGCCAAGCAAGACAGAAGTGTGCCCTGCTGAGGTGGCAACTGGGCCACACAGGTGTGTCTCTCCTCTTGATCCCCTTACTTCTCCAAGGAAGAAGAGGAACTATCTTCCCAGATGTCCAGCTTTAACGAAGCCATGACTCAGATCAGGGAGCTAGAGGAGAGGGCTGTGGAAGAACTCAAGGAGATTATACAGGTGAGGGGGCTGGCCCTGGCCATGGAGTGACTGGATGGCCACCCAGCTCAGCTCTCAAAGCACTATTCCTGAGAGATGACCTGGGCTTTGTTCCCATGGGCTCTCAGGTTGGGGTGGCAAGAAGCAGCCCTCTACACCAGCACTCCTTATTTTTCTACCTATTAATACGGCTGTTCTAGAGCAACTAATCATCCGGCCATATATCAACTTTATTTATTTTTTTTTTAGTTGGAGTCCCACTCTGTCGCCCAGACTGGAGTGCAATGGCCGCTCCTGGCCACTGCAGCCTTGACCTGCTGGGCTCTGGCGATCCTTCTGCCTCAGCCTTCCAAGTAGCTGGAACTACAGGCGTGCACTAGCACGCCTGGCTAGTTTTTTGACTTATTGTAGAGATGAGGTCTCGCCAAGTTGCCCAGGTGGGTCTCGAACACGCGGGCTCAGGCAATCCACTCACCTCGGCCTCCCAAAGCACTGGGATTACAGACTGAGCCACCAAGCCTGGACCATATATCAACTTTAAAAAGCCATTTAGGAAGTAGAATTGGGAGGATTTGGTGACAAGCAGAATGAAAGAATAAAGTGAGGCCGGGCTCGGTGGCTCAGCCTGTAATCCCAGCACTTTGGAAGGCCGAGGCAAATGAATTGCCAGCCCATGGGCTCGAGACCAGCCCAGGCAACTTGGCGAGACCTCGTCTCTACAATAAATCAAAAATTAGCCAGGCATGGTAGTGCACGTCTGTAGTTCTGGCTACTTGGAAGGCTGAAGCGGAAGTGATCGCTGGAGTCCAGCACATCGACACTGGGGTGGCCATGAGTGTGCCACTGCACTCTAGCCAGGGTGACAGAGTGAGACTTCAACTCAAAAATAATAACAACAAAGTCAGGACTGCTAGGCGTTGTGGCTCACACCTGTAATCCCAACACTTTGAGAGGCGGAGGTGAGAGAATTGAGACCAGCCTCAGGAACTTGGTGAGACCTCATCTGCTAAAATCAAGAAAAAATAGCCAGGTGTGGTGGCGCATGCCTGTAGTCCCAGCTACTTAGAAGGCTGAGGCGGAACAATTGCCTGAGCCATGAGTGTGCCACTGCACTCCAGCCTGGGCAACAGTGAAACTCCGACTCAAAAAAAAAAAGTCAGGACTATTTCTAGCTTGGGCATCAGAACGAGTGATGTTATTCATTTGACTTAGGGATAGGGACAGGTTTGGGGTAGAAAGGATGAATTCAAGTTGCAGGTTTCCTGGCGAAGAGGGTCAGGAGGCATGGACAGATATGTCATCTTGCACATTGCAGATGGAGGGCCCCAGGAATGATTTGCTAAAGTGGTTTGGCCATTATTGAACTGACAAGGTCTTCCCTGTGTTGCAGCAAGAACCAGGCTGGCTTGAGCTCTCAGAGATGACTGAGCAGCCCGACTATGACCTGGAGACCTTTGTGAACAAGGCAGAATCTGCCCTGGCCCAGCAAGCCAAGCAAGCCAAGCACTTCTCAGCCTTGAGAGGTGGGTGTGGCTGGGTGGCATATGAGTGGATCACAGTAACATAGCCTCTGCTGGTTCCTGGGCAACTGTAGGTGATGGCAGCACTGCCTGGAGTGAATGGGGATCTCAGAATCCTACTAACCTCACATGCATCACCACCCCTCTCTTGCAGATGTCATCAAGGCCTTGCACCTGGCCATGCAGCAGGAAGAACAGGCTAGCAGACAAATAAGCAGCAAGAAACGGCCTCAGTGACGACTGCAAATAAAGATCTGTTTGGTTTCACGCCCAGCCTCTTCCCCTTCCCCTCACCATTCCTCCCCAGCAAGGTTTGGGCACCTGGTGGGACTATGCAGGGTCTTACCTGGGACACGCTTCGGCAAATGCCAAGTATGAGGACATCTGGGCCCAAGGCAGCTGGGGAAGGAGTCAGTGATGAGATGCTGCTTGCCTTTTCCTCAGCTGTCGCTCTCAAGGGATGAAGGAGCTTTTAATTATTACCTTTCTCCATTGCCCTTTTCTCCAAGAGGGGAATGCTCTCTGGTGTAGAATTTTCCCTTGACAGCACCCTGCCTGTGTGGACTGGCTGCTGGTAGGACTCCATGGGGTTGTCCCGAAATGAGGAGAGAGGAGCCTTTAATCCAATTCTGTGGTGCAGCTCTGGCCTGCCTTCCACGCCTTTGGTTAGAGCACTGAGATGTCTTGTACTTTAGAAAATGTTTCTGGGTACTCTTCTTGCTGTCTTTTGAGGTCCCAGAGGATCTCTACTGTTTTCTCTCTCATGTGTTTATATGTTGTGTATAACAATAAAGAAGAAGGAAATAAAAATCAGCCTTTTGAGTGGTAAATGGGAGGGGTCTGGGATGCGTCTGAGACTATAGACACTGCTGCATCTTTGACCTCTGGGTAGTGCTGATTCCATACTCCTAAGAGGCAGTTCTAGTAACATGCTGGACTCCAATCTGTGACTTGCTCAGTGTTTACTGGATGCTTACTAGGCTCCAGGCCCTCTCCTGGGAACAGAAGCTATAAGTAGAAAAGAGATGGTGCTGGGCTTGGTGGCTCAGCCTGTAATCCCAGCACTTTGGGAGGCTGAGGTGAGTGGATTACCTGAGCCTGCAGGTTCGAGACCCGCCTGGGCAACTTGGTGAGACCTCATCTCTACAATAAATAAAAAAATTAAGCCGGGCTGTGGCTCAGCCTGTAATCCCGTGCCTTTGGGAGGCTGAGGTGAGTGGATTGCCTGAGCCCCCAGGCTCAAGACCCACCTGGGCAACTTGGTGAGACCTCATCTCTACAATAAATAAAAAAATTAGTCGGGTGTGGTAGCGCACGCCTGAAGTTCCAGCTACTTGGAAGGCTGAAGCAGAAGGATCGCTGGCGCCCAGCAGGTCGAGGCTGCAGTGACAGGGAGCGACCACTACACTCCAGTCTGGGCGACAGTGAGACTCTAACTCAAAAAATAAATAAATAAATAAATTAGCCAGGCGCGCTAGCATGCGCCTGTAGTTCCAGCTACTTGGAAGGCTGAGGCGGAAGGATCGCCGGAGCCCAGCAGGTTGAAGCTGTGGTGGCCGGAAGCGGCCACTGCACTCCAGTCTGGGTGACAGAGTAAGACTCCAACTCAAAAAAAAAAGGAGATGGTGCTCTGTTACTATCTGCTCAAGAGCCATTAAAAGATTCTGGGCTGGGCACGGTGGCTTATGCCTGTAATCCCAGCACTTTGGGAGGTAGAAGTGAAAGGATTACCGGAGCTCAAGATTGCCTGAACCCAGCAGGTTGAGACTGCAGAGGCTGTGAGTGTCCCACTGCACTCCACTCCCACTCAAAAAGATTCTGTGGACTTGCTGGGCAAGAAAGGATCTGAAGGGCAACCCCAGTTTGCTCTTGAAAGGTCTGCCAGGTGGAATGAAGGACCAAGCACAGGGCGTGGAACATGAATCATCATCTTTAGTAGTAATAAGGTACCACTAAAAGGTTGTAAGCCTAGGAAACAACCAAATGTGTGTTTAGGAAAGCCTTGGTCAGGGATATGCGTGGGAGCATGGGGCATGTAGGCCACTGCAGAAACCAGAGAATGGTGGCCTCAGGCAGACCAGGTTCTAGCCCTCTGAACCTCAGTTTCTTCATTTGTAAAATAGTATTCTATACCTCATGCTGACAATTACATGAGTTTGAGGTGACATTAAGTAACCATTAAATTCTGAATTTCTGGATGTAGAAATTCAACTGAATGAGTAGTTGGAGAGAAATGGCACTAGCTTGGTGGCCTGGAAAAGACCAGAAGCTGCTGGGCACGGTAGCTTACACGTGTAATCCCAGGACTTTGGGAGGCCAAGACAAGAGGATTGCCTGAGTCCAGGGGTTTGAGACCAGCCCAGACAACTTGGCGAGACCTCATCTCTGTAATAGATTTAAAAAAAGAAAATTAAGCCGGGCTCGGTGGCTCAGCCTGTAATCCCGCGCCTTTGGGAGGCTGAGGTGAGTGGATTGCCTGAGCCCGCAGGTTCAAGACCCGCCTGGGCAGCGAGACCTCATCTCTACAATAAATAAAAAAATCAGCCGGGCGTGTTAGTGCATGCCTGTAATTCTGGCTACTTGGAAGGCTGAGGCGGAAGGATCGCCAGAGCCCAGCAGATCGAGGCTGCGGTGGCCGGGAGGGGCCATTGCACTCCAGTCTCGGTGACAGAGTGAGACTCCAACTCAAAAAAAAAAAAGAAAAAAGAAAAAAAAATTAGCCAGGCATGGTAGTGAGCACCTGTGGTTCCAGCTACTTGGAAGGGAAGGATCACCTGAGCCCAACAGGTCGAGGCTGCGGTGGCTTATGAGCATGCCAGCCTGGTTGAAAAAGTAAGACTGCAACTCAAAAACAAAAAACAAAAACCACCAGATGACTGAAATATATTCTTCATCCAAAATGAGGCCACCAGTACCCACCTCCCAGAAGTATGAGAATTAAATGGAAGAATGCCATCCTGGACCTGACCACCTTCTCACCCCAAATACTACAGTCTCCAGGCTCCCTGCTTGGATTCTTGACTCCCAGTGACCCATTCTCAGCCAATCAGAATTAATCCTCTGCTTCGAACCCTTTGAACTTCCTCTTGCACAAAGGAAAAATTCTCAATGTCCTACCACAGGCCTGCCTTGGTTAACTTCTATTCTTCCAGCTGGAATGCAATTTAGGCAGAATCATTTGGGGGTTAACAGCATCACTTCTGAGGTCACACTGCAGTGCAGGATCCTAGCTCTGTGACTCTGGAACCTGAAGTGTGTTGTTTAGCCTCTCTGTGCTATCTGTGAAATGGGAACAATATTGGCACATAGAGCTGTTATGAAACTTGAGGTAATACACAGTACAATGTCTCACATTGAATAAGGACTACACAGATGCTAGATATTTAAGTGCATATGGAAATTTTTTTATTCAACACCATATCCACAGTGCCTAGAACACATTGTAAGCCCGATAGTTGTTTTTTTTTTTGAGTTGGAATCTCACTGTTGCCCAGGCTGGAGTGCCATGGCATATTCACGGCCACTCCAGTAATCCTTCTGGCTCAACTTTCCAAGGAACTACAGGCGCACACTACCATGCCTAGCTAATATATATATTTTTTTGAGTTGGAGTCTCACTCTGTCACCCAGACTGGAGTGCAGTGGCCGCTCCCGGCCACCGCAGCCTCAACCTGCTGGGCTCTGGCGATCCTTCCGCCTCAGTCTACTGAGTAGCTGGAACTATAGGCGCGTGCTACCACACCCGGCTCATTTTTGATTTATTGTGGAGATGAGGTCTCGCCCAGGTGCCCAGGCGGGTCTCGAACCCGCGGGATCAGGCAATCCACTCACCTCAGCCTCCCAAAGTGCTGGGATTACAGGCTGAGCCACCAAGCCCGGCCCAAATACATATTTTTGAATGAATAAATAAACTGCATCTCCTACCACTTACTGTTCTCTAACCACAGTTAGTCGATGAACAATCTGTTGGGTTGTTTCTACTTTTTGGCTATTATGAATAATGCCACTGTGAACATTCATATACAGGTTGGGCACAGTGGCTCACACCTATAATCCCAGCACTTTAGGAGGCAGAGGTGAGAGAATTACCTGAGCCCTGGGGTTCAAGACCAGCTTGGGCAATCTGGGGAAATCTCATCACCACAATAAATTTTAAAATTAGCTGGGCGTGGTGGTGCATGCCTGTAGTTCCAGCTACTTGGAAGACTGAGGCAGAAGGATCGCCTGAGCCCCGCAGGTCGAGACTGTGGTGACTGTGAGCTTGCCACTGCACTCCAGCCTGGGCCACAGAGTAAGACTCCAAATCAAAAGAGAGAACATTTCTGCTTCTATTCCTCTCCAGCCACCAGCCGAATTCTTTCTTCTCTCTAAAGTCAAATTTCTCAAAAGAATTGTCAACATATATTGTATTTTTTAAAACTTCCCATTCTATTTCAAATTTTCGAAAAAAAAGAATCCAGTTTTTTTGCCTACTTCACCACACAGAAAATGTTCTCACCAATATCACCAAGGACTTTCAGGCTACTAAATCCAATCATTGGCCGGGCGCAGTGGCTCATACCTATAATCCCAGCACTTTGTGAGGCTGAGGTCAGTGGACTGCCTGAGTCCATGGGTTGGAGACCAGCCTGGGCAACTTGGTGAGACCTCATGTCTACAATAAATAAAAAAATAAGCTGGTTGTGGTAGCATGTGCCTGTAGTTCCAGCTACTTGTAAGGCTAACGCGGGAGAATTGCCTGAGCCCAGCAGGTTGAGGTTGCAGTGACCAAGAGCATGCCACTGTACTCCAGCCTGGGCGACAGTGAGACACCGACTCAGGAAATAAATAAATCCAGCCGGGCTCGGTGGCTCAGCCTCTAATCCCAGCACTTTGGGAAGCCGAGGTGAGTGGATTGCCTGAGCCCGCGGGTTCGAGACCCGCCTGGGCAACTTGACGAGATCTCATCTCTACAACAAATCAAAAATTAGCGGGGCGTGGTAGCGTGCACCTGTAGTTCCAGCTACTCGGAAGGCTGAGGCGGAAGGATTGTCGGAGACCAGCAGGTCGAGGCTGCGGTAGCTGGGAGCGGCCACTGCACTCCAGTCTGGGTGACAGAGTGAGACTCCAACTCAAAACAAAACAAAACAAAAAAGAAATAAATAAATCCAATCATTTTTCGTTTTTTTTTTTTCCTTTGAGGCAGGGTCTTCCTGTTGCTCAAGCTGCAATGCAGTGGCATCATCACAGTTCAGCGAATCCTTGACCTCCTGGGCTCAAGCAATCCTCCTGGGTAGCTGGAATTACAACCATGTGCCACCACGCTCAGCTACTTTTTTTATGTTTTAGTAGAGATGAGGTCTTGCTATGTTGCCCAAGCTATTTTGAATTCCTGGCTTTAAGTGATCCTCCCACCTCTATCTCCCAAAATGCTGGGATTACCGGCATGAGTCATCACACCCGGTCCTCTTTTTAAGAAATGATTACTAGGCCGGGCTCGGTGGCTCAGCCTCTAATCCCAGCACTTTGGGAGGCCGAGGTGAGTGGATTGCCTGAGCCCGTGGGTTCGAGAC